CATTACTTTATGTAAATATCACAAAAAATAAGCATTGATAAGAAGCAATGTTTTAGGATTTGGAAAAGAAGGTGGCTTTGTCTCAGATTATCAGCTCATAAATATCAGTGCAATAGATGTACTTAAGGATATAATAAGAACGTCAAGAAGTTCGAATGTAATTGTCAACGCTATGACAATTAAGATGCATCAGCAAAAGTTTAATCCCCAAATCATGAAAAAATCGTCATTCCACTTTCTTTGGACTTGGTCAGACCCCACTTTGACTACTCAGACATTCCCGGCTCCACATTTTATACAAGATTCAAGAAACTGGAATAGGTTCAGAGAAAGAAAATTAAATCCTATGAGGAATGATTAAAAGAGCAGAGCAGGTTTGGTCTTGAGAAAAAGACAACCGAGATGAGAGACGAGAGATTGGCAGTTTTCAACCACAATGAATAAGCACTTGAACTGGCAATTCTCAGACATTTTCCTTGGCAATGGGGATCATCCAGTTGTTTGTTCCAGTTGCTGGCTGGAAGGGAAGAGGGACAGGCAGAAGCGAAGAAACTGTTTACTTGAGTAATGACTGTGATCTTCTCAGGGCTAAATCCCTCCACTCCTCACCCCATTCTGCTCGTGCACCAGGCCATCCCTGGATTTTCCTTATCACTGGTTTGCCTTGAGTGTATTTTGTATGTGAGAGTGAGTGTGAATTAAGGCTCAGGGAAAAGCTAACAGCAGCCAACAGCTGTGTGGGTAAATGCTGTAATTAAAGTATTCATTAACTGGTGAAAGGGGGAGATGCATCATTACCGTGGGCCGCTACAAAAGTCACAATGATGGATGTCTTGCTCAGGGGACAGTTGCAAAGCCATAATTCAGTATTACATCCAGGTGCTCCAGGGAAATGTAGAGGATCTTTCCTCCTGGTTAGCTTTGGATACTTAGCAGTAAATTGGGAAGAAAATAATATTCGTACAGGCAGGAGGGAGTCCTGGCTTTGGATCGCTCAACCAGTGCAATTTGGGACTGTCAATCTGGGCAGAGCTTGTAGAGTCCATTACTTCTTATATAATTGGCTCTTCTGCTTTTGTCAGCGGGTGCTCCGGCCTCAAAATTCAATTGCAGAATTGAGCAGGCGCAATTTGTGGTCCGGATAAGTGCGCCGCCTAGTCATCTTGTTAGCAGCAGGATTGTCTTTTAATCTTGCTCTTCCTCTGCAAAGGGAAAAAATGCATTCAATTTGCAACAATTTTGAAAGTGTGCCACTTCTTGAGAGCTCAGTCTGAACTGAGCAATTGTTCCAACACCTGATTAAAAGGAGAGGCAGGCTGACAGAGGAAAATCTTGACATAGAACTATTTTTGGCTCCCATATAAAATGGGAAGGAGCATGACTTGAACAGGAGAGAGAGAGAGAGAGCTAGATTCTAGTCCTTATATATACCAAGAAGAGAATATTTGCAGCTCGGGGTTCAGCTGTGGAGTGCTTGGTGCTCTCTGAGCTTGCAGATGTTTCACTACCCAACTAGAGAACATCATCAGTACTAGAAAGGAGTGGGATTTGTTCTCTTGTTTATTAAAGTGGATTGCCCACTGTCGGCGTTGGTCGGAGTGCTGTTTTCTTGGAAGTTCCTTGATTGACTATTGTTTACTGTTTGATTGTTGGTCTGGTATTGATCGTGGTGTTAATCCCTGCATACCTGTGTGTTGATTGCTGGCTGGGAGGTGTTTAGGTCTTCTGGTTTCCTTTTTAGCTTTTTGATTTCTCAACTGAATGGCATGTCAATGTTGTTTATCTGTATATGCCTATTGATGGCATCGAGATAAATCAGATTTGTCTGATTTCCAAGCTTCCAGGAATACTCTACCGTTTTTCGACTTAGCTTGGTCTAGGTCTGACAGGGCAAGCCACTGTATATAAACAGATTAAACTCCACTCTCTTCTAGCACAGATGACACAACCAAGTTGGGTAATGAAACATCTGCAAAAAAGCAACCAAGCTCAGAGAGCATTAAGGACTCCACAGATCCTTATATTTGACCATGGAGCTCTCTTCGATCTCTTGCAAGGCTGCTATGGAAATAAAAATAGGGAAGATTTCTTTTGGTCTGTTAGAGCAGGACTTGCCAACCTTAGGAACTTTTAGATGTGTGGACTTCAACTCCCAGAATTCGTGGCTGGCTGGGGAATTCTGGGAGCTGAAGTCCACACATCGTAAGGTTGCCAAGGTTGGAGAACTCTGTCTTAGAGAGAAGGTAGATGATTGCAATAAATAGAGAAATAAATTATTTGTCAAGGTTCCGATAGACGAGACCAAACAAATCAGAACTCCAAGGCTAGAGATTTCCTCAAAGAACATGTTTATTGGTTACATAGTATCGGTATGGTCAAAAGTGAAACCAAGTCTGAAATTCCCTCCAAAGAGTCACATTAGTACAAAGTTAAACTTCCCACCCCAGTGTTGTGCAAATCAGCTACCTTTCCTGATAGAATAGTTTGGCGGGCTTTCTACCCAACTGCTCCCCCTCCCAATCCAACTGGCAGAAATGACCTTGGTTCCCACGGGACATTGAATGATTTAGACTAGCAGATTTCCTCCGCACTTTCTCCCATCTTTGTGGAAACTTAGAACGAGCAAGATGGCTGCAGCCAGGTTTGTTGTAGAGTTGACATTATTCCAGTGTATTGAGAAGGGTGGCATCTTTGATGACTCTACCCACTACAAGATGATAGTCAACTCCTCAGTTGCATAGCCTGCAGTTGTAACACAGAGGGCACTCACACTGCAAGGCAGCCAACCTCGGTTTGGACTCTTCCAGGTATGCTGGACTACAGCTCCCATCCTCCTCAAGTCAATAGGAGGAAGAGTGAGAGCTTTAGTCGACAGTACATACTTGGATAAGTTCCCTTGGCCTGTGTGTAAATGTCCCCTAAATGTGGGTTAATCAGCCCTCTTCCTCTTTCCGCCTTCAATCCCTCATGCAGCCTCTAAAAAATAAAAGCTTGGTACAGTATTTAAATTGTCATGTGTGGCCTCAAGGGGTCCTTGGTGATAAAACCATAATGGGTGAATTCACTTGCTAGCTAAATTGTTTAACACAAGGTACAGTAATGTGTATGTACAGGTACAGTATAGGGGGTACCTTGCTCAATGGTAGTAACTGTGAGAGGGACCTCGGAGTCCTAGTGGACAATCACTTAAATATGAGCCAGCAGTGTGCTGCAGCTGCCAAAAAAGCCAACACAGTGCTAGGCTGCATTAACAGAGAGATAGAATCAAGATCACGTGAAGTATTAATACCACTTTACAATGCCTTGGCAAGACCACACTTGGAATACTGCATCCAGTTTTGGTCACCACGATGTAAAAAAGATGTTGAGACTCTAGAAAGAGTACAGAGAAGAGCAACAAAGATGATTAGGGGTCTGGAGGCTGAAACATATAAGGAATGGTTGCTGGAATTGGGCATGTCTAGTTTAACGAAGAGAAGGACGAGGGGGGACATGATAGCAGTCTTTCAATATCTCAGGGGCTGCCACAAAGAAGAGGGAGTGAAGCTATTTTCCAAAGCACATGAAGGCAGGACAAGGAACAACGGGTGGAAACTAACCAAAGAGAGAAGCAACCTAGAACTAAGGAGAAACTTCCTGACAGTTAGAACAATTAACCAGTGGAACAACCTGCCTCCAGAAGTGGTGAATGCCCCAACACTAGACGTTTTTAAGAAGAAACTGGACAGCCATTTGTCCGAAATGGTATAGGGTTTCCTGCCTGAGCAGGGGGTTGGACTAGATGACCTCCAAGGTCTCTTCCAACTTTATTATTATTATTATTATTATTATTATTATTATTATTATTATTATTATTATTATTATTATTATTATTATTACAACATAGCACAACAATTGTTTTTAAAGAAGTAGCAATAGCAACAATAAAAGCCCAGTAGTAAATACCAGGACAACCGCACAGGGCATTTTTAGACATTCATAAAACTTCCCTTCCGAAAGGCTGAGCAGGTAGGAAGAGTTTTAGGCAAATAAGCATACCTTGTGCGTTTTGATGTCCTATTTCCAACGAAATACACACAAGGCTGTGCTCTCTGAGCCTTTCAGAGCTTGGTCATTTTCTGCCTGACAAGTCAAGCTGTCTACTAACAGCTTCACTCTTGTGCTTTGTAATCCAGGACTGAATATTGAACTGCATCTTGTGGGCCCTAAACATGAATAGACAGACAGCTCTTTGTGTATTGACATCCAAAGTCTATGGATGCCTGCAGCAAAATTTAGCTCCAGGACAGTGAAATATCTATTCTGCATGCAGGAAAGACCTACATTAAAAGAGTTGGGGAAGATCCTTGGGAAGGATTTTTTTTTTGAGCTAAAAAAAAAGGTAAAAATCTCAGAATCAAGCTTGATTCATCTTGATTATATGGACACAGCGTGTCTTTTTTTTTTGGCAGCTGTACAAAATAGTTTGCCACTGACTTCTTTTAGTTATTTATTTGTTTCTTTTTCAACTTGCTGATCCACCTGAGATTTCTGGGGTTTTCCTGTAAGTTTCCTATCCAGTATTCAGGTTTGAACCCAAAGAAATTTGGTTTTAGGTCAGCCAGAGGTTTAACTTTCTTTAAAAGCCTAATTGCTTAATAGCAGCAAACTTCCATCCTTTTTTTTTTTTTTTAGATCAGACAAGATCGCTAGCCAAGCAAATTAAACCTTCCCGGTAAAAACAGCTCCTTTTGTAAAAAGATGCTAATGAGTCCAGTTGCATGCTATGGTTTGTCTGGAGTGCAAGAATTTAAGCACTGGGATGGAAGGATATTGAGTGGTGTTAATCAGTTCTTTCCTAAAGAGCAGCCATGTGTGTCTTCTGCAACAGAAACAAAAGTCTCTTGGGATGTCTTAGGCTAACCATTTATTATCGCAGAAGGTTTTATGTTCCACAAAAGCTGCTGTTCTTACTAGCTGTGTATGCATGCTACATGTAACAATTCCTTCTGCTCCGATAGGTCCGATCACAAATGCTTTCATAACCCTGGCACCTGCCAACATGCTGAATCCGGACAGCAAGCCTCGCATCCCACTGCCAAAATTCAGCCGGCATCTTCATAGCACAGAGAGCATGGAAAACTCTGCCAGGGAAGGGCTGACACTGTGTCTGGGGCTGCATCAGAAGGTAAGGAAACAAAGGAGAAGGAACTGGCGAGAGATGAATTAGCCAGCCATATGTGGGATGTGTGGGAGACATTTATTCTTTCGGCCAAAGCAGGAGAAGCCACAGCAGATGGCTAGTCCCTGGTGATGCGAGGCAGATCTTAAACAGGCCTAGCTAAATGGGTCCTGGTGTACTTCTTCTTCTGGGGATAAGGAAAAGGCTGTGAGCATCTGTATGAGTTATATCCCCTTGACAGGCACTAAAGCAGTAATAAGCTGAAACTTCACCGCCACACCTGCGTTTCTTGGGATTTGAAATGAACCATGCGCACTGCGCTGGGAAGGATCATAAATGTTCAGAATTGAGTTTGGCAGACACACACACTTGATCACAGGTGTGTGTTTTAGGATGAGCTGTAAATGGAAATCAGGTGGCACAGAGGAGGAAACCGTTTAATCCAGAGCTGTGATAAATAAGCGGAGCTTTCACTCTCAGCAAACAGGGTTTCCGCCAGGGGAAAATAATTGTCTGCATGCTGTGCTTAATGGGGAATTCCCTAGAATTTATTTGACCCGCCACTGAGGGTGTCTTGGTGCTGGGCTAAATCAGATGCAGCAAGGTGGTTCTTAACATTGCATTATCAAAAGTTATTTTCCCCAATAGAGTCTCCATGTTCAAGGTCAACATTCCCCCAATATGATATTGCAGTGATGGCGAATTTTTTAGAGACTGAGTGCCCAAACTGCAACCCAAAATCCACTTATGCATCGTTGGGTGCCGGGTGGGTGTGGCCCATTGGGTGGGTGTGGCCCATTGGGTGGGCGTGGCTGCGGTGGTAACGGCAGCCTGGGTGGGACTAAAAAGTTCAATCAATCAATTCCAACTTTGCAAGATCTTTTTTTTCCCTGCGAGAAGTTGAAATTGACTCATTGAACCTTTTTTTTTTTTTTTTGCACATGGCGGCAGAGACCTAAAGCGAAAAGGTTTTATAAAACCCAGCTGAAGGCCTAGGACTGGGGCGATGGCGCGCGTGCCCACAGAGAGGGCTCTGAGTGCCGCCTCTGGCACCCGTGCCATAGGTTCGCCACCACTGCGATCTTGTAAGGAGAGAAAACGGGAGCAACAATCTCCATCCACATTTTCCAAGGAATGCTGAAACAGGACCTCTTGGATCTTCCCATATAGTAGAAAGGAAGAGATCAAGAAGAAATCAGGTTTCTTCCGTTCTTTATTCCAAGCAACTGGAAAGCATCATTTTCCAGCCCTGTTTCTCAGCACTCTTATTTGTGACAGAGAGAAAAGATGGAGGCAAGGATTAATGTATATAGCAAAAAGCGGGTACCCTATATTTATATTTAACTGTCACTTAACTACTCTTCTGATGGAGTTGCAAGGACTGAAGAGATTATTTATGTGAGGGGTTTTCAAACTTGTAAAGGCCACAGAACCTGTCAGTTAAAGCAAAAATAATAAATAAACCCCCCTGATCAAAAGACCAAGTACTAGTGATAGAGAAATAGCTGGATTGGAGTGGTTTGCTTTGTTTTGTTTTGTTTTGCCCTTAGTGAAACACATCCTGAAAAGAAACTCTGATGTGTATATTTGTGTTGCCGTTCTGTATCAACAAATGCTCCAGGCAGAGTGCAGAAAATCTGCATTCACCAGTACGGAGCTTCAGGTTTGCTCGTTCGCACAGCCCATGGCTAGGTGCGAAAGCAGGGTCTCTAATGTTAAGCAACAAAGTCGGCATTATCGTGATCTTGAAATCAATGCTGTGGATCTCTTTGAAGAGCAGGCTTTGGAAACTGAGATGAGGCAGAATGGAAGAAAGCACATTGTTAGCACTAAAAAGCAAAACAAAGCACAATGAGGACATATTTTATCTGATACATAAGGTTATCTAGGGGATTAAAAAACAGCCTCGACAATTCTGTAGTGGCCACTTCTCTGAAATTTATTTATTTATTTCCCTTTTTCCTCTCGTTTTTGCATCTGTCTTTAAAGAGGGATTGGGTGAATCCCAGCTCCTGTTTTTGTAGCTTCAGAATCTAAAGAGGGAAGAGATGGCTGACCAGCAAATGCCTGGTTGCTGGGGCTAATGGTCTCATGCCCTCCTGGAGGACTTCACAGAGGCCTCCAGCTGGCTGCTGGGAGACTTCTGATGCCAGATCATATGAGTTTGTGACATCCTACAACAGCAGTGGCAAACCTATGACACGCGTGCCAGAGGCGGCACTCAGAGTCCTCTCTGTGGACACTCACGCCGCCGCTCCCAGCAGCTTGTGCAGGTCCATTAGGCCGCCACCGGGAGCGGCAGCCCCAGCACAAAGGAGGCGAAGCGGCCAGCTAGCAAGCTCAAGTAGAGGTGGTAGAGTACGCCCACACCCAGCAAGCCAAAGGCCACCCCGAGCAGGGAAAGCCGGATCCCCATCGGCGCCATGGCCCCCCAGTCCCAGCTAGGATTGTGTGCCTCCCCCCATCTATGCTGGGCCTCCTGCCCACCACCCCACCCGCCAGAGACCCCCTGGATCTCCCCCAACCCTGCCCGGCCCCTACAGGTGTCCCCCCCCATGAGCAACATCGAGGTGGCCATGCCCACCCAGTGGGCCATGCCCAGATGTCCCCCCGAGGGCACCACAATGCTGATGCAGCCCTGGCACTTTGTGATAAATAAGTGGGTTTTGGGTTGTGGTTCGGTCTCTAAAAGGTTCGCCATGACTGTCCTACAATATCTCTATCCTTCCCACCACTGCTCTGTGCCGCGGCCTTTGATGGAATCTGCCCGCCAGGAAGCAGCAGAATAGATCTCTTCCTCTTGAGCCTGAGGGTGAAAGAGAAAAGAACCATCCTGAAGAGGGGATAGTCCATCCTTCTTTGCATAGATCTATTCAGTATCACCCACTGCATAGGCCTCTTGTCCAGGGGCAGGCAACCTTGGCTCTTGTATGACTCATGGACTTCAACTCCCAGAATTCCTGAGCCAGCATGGCTCAGCTTGGAAACTCTCCCTTTCCCCTCAGCATGGCTGGCTCAGGAATTCTGGGAGTTGAAGTCCACGAGTCATACAAGAGCCAAGGTTGCCTACCCCTGCTCTTGTCCATCCATCTGCCTCTCTTCCCCTTTAAGGGCACTTTCATCTGATCTCTCTCCTATCTGTCTCTTGCCTCCCCCCCCCCCATGAGATTGACGGCGCTAACTCTCACGGGTGTGAATGGAGGAGACAAGGACTCTGAAGCTAGTCTGAAGCATTAACTTCAGAAGTGCTTTGGGTTTGAAATCAAAAAGATGCACGCTGCACCTGTTGGTCTGTCCCTGGGCTCTCGTGGTGCCACATAATCCCAGGAAAAATGCATATTTGAATCAAGGAGGTGCCCATAGGACGGAACAGGTTGCGCTGTGGTGGGCATTGGCACCTCCATAACTCAAATGTGCATTTTCCTGGGTTCACATATGTTTGTTTGTCAAATTTATTGGCTGCCCATCTTAGTGCATGGCTACAGTATGAGTCCAGCAAAAGAAGCTGCTGCTTTAAAGGCTGCCCTCCAGAATGTCTATGGAGATTCTCAGTCGTCCAGGTCATAGTTATCCCAAAGATACTTTTTCACGAGGCAACTGGACTTTCTTGGTTTTTCTTTGAAGACGTTTTGCTTCTCATCCAAGAAGCTTCTTCAGCTCTGACTGGATGGTGGGGAATGGAAGGATTTATACTCCTGCAGACAGCTGTTCATTTGCATTCTTTTAGTGAGTCCTTAAAGCTACCCGGAGGGTTATCTGTGTCCTCAGAGTCACCTGAGTAGTGCAAATGGGTGTGGAGCCTTCTTGGAACTGCTGAAAGGACTGTGTTGTAGACTGGAGATAGATGATGTTGTATCCCTCCCCCTCTGTTGAGAGAGGGCTGTTCAATTTTGACATTGTCGTTGTTAGTTGCGAAGTCATGTCCGACCGATCACGACCCCATGGACAACATTCGTCCAGGCAGCCTTCCTGTCCTCTACCATCTTCTGGAGTCCATTTAAGCTCACGCCTACTGCTTCAGTGATTCCATCCAACCACCAGCCGTTTTGACATAGATGGCCTCTTTGGCCCCTCTCTCAACAGACAGAGGGGGAGGGATCCGACACATTTGGGACAATCATGACCTGGATAATTGAGAATCTCCATAATTAATCTCCAAGTCTTTCATACATCCTCCAGGAGTTTGCTCAACACCCAGTCCCAAGTGGCATCTGGGTGGCTCTTTGGAGGCCCATCAACCACCATCAGAGTAGACCTAGATGTCGCGTGTGGCAACCGGGTGACCTTCCAACCCGGAGAAACTTAGGATGGCCCTTTACACCATCTATACGTCCCGAGTCCTGAATTCACGAGGGCATCTGATTGGAAAGAGAGAGGTATGACCTCAAAACTCCCCAGATTGCATGAGGGAGCCCAAAGAGACCATCGTGCCGCCACCCCCATCTGCTCTGTGCTCAAGCCCGATATTAAATTATGTTCTTTTCCAAAATGTGAGGACTTTTTCCCTCCCCTTTCCAGCCTTCCTCTGCATTCTTAAGCGGTATCTCCAGTTTAATAATGCTCCTCACGCACCAGATCTAATGGCAGCGATATGATGTCTTAAGAAAGGAAAAGAGACTGTTTGGGGATTGGGGACTGAAATCAGGTGGGGTGAACGGAGCATTTTATAGAAGAAAGTACGTGCCTTGCAGCCAAGGACAGCCGCCGCCGTATTTTCAATATCAAGAGTGGCATAGGATTGACAGAAAGCACCCTCTGGCAGTCTTTGGGTGACTGTGTTCTCCTTCAGCTCCCTTCATCCCCTGCCCACAGAGCTGGGGATGATGGGAACTGAATCCAGGAAGACAGAGACTGGCTTACTGGAGGATTATATTGAATTACGGCAGCCTATAAATAGGTTTATGAATAAATGTATGCATTATTATGATTTATTTATAGTACAGTTATGCATGGTGCGGGAAGAAGTAGGTAGGGTTCTCTGTTTCCCCCCCCCTCCCTCTCTCATA